AATTCAGGCCCTGAATAAATGTCTAAAAATCCTGATTGGAGTATCACTATAAATAGTTATAAATGATAAAAAGAAGGCTTTAAAAAGATCGGTATCGGTGATCGGTATCGGCAGATACTGCTGATCGGCCTCAAAAATCCTGATCGGAGCACCCCTACTAATAAGAAACAGAATATGTCTGGCAAGAAAACCTTTCTGAATTGCATGGTTAAACCAGATTTTGTCTTAACTTCAAACCAATTAAGTTATCAAAAAAAAAACTAAAAAAACATTTGAATGCCCCATTCACAGGCTGGATGGACTGAGAGCTAAAGTGGCTCCAGATGTTAACAGGATTCTGTTATTTGGCTGTTCTAGGTTTATCAGGCCAGACAGTCACCAGTCTTTACTAAGATCAGATGTGTGAGTGATCCATTAGCCCCAGCCGAGTCTGAGAAAAAGCTAGAGTTTCTCACTCTGAATGATGGGTCTTTGAGGGGCACCTCATCAAGCCCCTCCCCTTGAGGTGGAGCTTTCCAGTCCAATAACTGAAGGGAGGAATACGTATGGTCTGTGATGCAGTGTCAGATCATGACTCTACTTTTGTGTTTCCACTGGTAATGGCACTCACCTTTTCCAGCTGTTCAATGCAGATGGAGTGAACTACGATCTTGCAAGCAGCACACTTTTTCCGAGCAACAGACTTTTGCTGTGAAAACCAGGAAAAAGAGACATTAGATTTATTCTGACAGGTGATCTTCACTTGATACAAAATTTACAATCAAAAGAACTAAATCATGATTTAATGCACATAATTTGAAAATTGAAATTATGCAATGCATTCTGCAAGCCAGCCACCAGAGGGCAGCATTACACTAAGAGAGAAAATATGAGCGAAAAAGAGAAATGTTCAATTGAGAGATTCTCTTTTTCCCCCTTTACCTTCCATCTATTTCTATATTCTCCATCACCATTTTGCTGTATATTATACAATCTGTTATTCTCTCGAATCTAAAATTTGCTGCATCTCACTTTCGCCCCACTATTTACTCTCCTCTGTTTACTCACTCTTTCTTAAAGGGGTCCTATTATGCTTTTTCACTTTTTCAACTTTAGTTAGTCTGTAATGTTGCCGTTTCAGCATAAAAAAGATCTGCAAAGTTACAAAGCTCAACGTCCACTTCAAAAGGAGATATTTTATTTAACAGAAATCACATTTTAAAAACTACAACGAACGACTCGTTTGGACTACAACGCATATTTCCGGGATTTGATATATCACAAATATCGACGAATGGGACGAGACCTGGTTGAGCTGCAATAGAGAAGGCAATGAGTGTTATCACTACGTCGGAGACACACTAGCTTTTCCAAGGCAGACGAACTTAGAGTGGTTACAATCATCCGGGTTTAAATCGCGCTCAAATTGATTTGATTTTGACGCAATATTTACACTGAAGCTCACAGCTATGGTAAGGGGCATGACATTTCCCGACCAGGTGCCGAGTGCTGCCAATCACAACACACACTGGCCCAGCTAACCAATCACAGCACATTTCGTATTTCAGAAGGCGGGCCTTCATTTGATACAAGAACTATTCAAGCCGTTCATGCCAGACTGGGGAGAGAGGTGTTGTAATAATGTAAAATGTGTGAAAAATAATGTGTTTTTCAAACAACATGGTATGAGAGCCTGTTCTAGTACACCCCCAAAACAAAATCAAGACTTTGTAAAAGAGCATAATAGGACCCCTTTAAAGAGGGACATATACTGACATTCCTATCAAACACACACTCACCAGGGATTTGGCGTAACAGTGCTGTTCTCCGACGTAACAGAAGTCCCCAGAGACATTCGTCTCGAACCAGATGTGCTCTCCATACAGAGCTGATTCCTGCTCAAATACAAAGCATCAAATTAAATGTGAAACCAGAGAAAGAAACTGTAGCTCTATCAAGAGTACAAAGAAGAGAGATCTGAAGTCTAGATTATTTGGGTTTGTGTTACTCACACTCCAGTCCACTGTGCTGCGGATTTCTCTGTCTGTTTCCCCCTTGGCCAACACTGCAGCACTGGGCTGGCATGAGAGGTGCTGGAGACCGGACTTGGCAATGGCCTTCCTACAGACAAACACAAAACAGGAAGGTTCCATAAAACATCAAGCAAAAATGATAAAGAGTCAGAAACTCAATGTATAGCCCGGATCTACACATACACAAAGAAGAACAGTAAAAGTGTCAAACAAAACAAAACAAAACATTCAGAGTACTGTTGCTTAACAGTGTGCGTCACATGTAAACCATAAAAAAGGAGAAGAGAGATATTTCAATTTGAAAAATGAAAGTAGAGAGTAAAAATAAATGAGAAACAGAAACATTGAAACTTTGTGTTCAGCTCAGCTGCACTCCAAACTGACACTCATAAAATAACCCACTGCTCTCAAACTCCACCAATCATATTTCTTGCATATACAATTCAAGGAATAGTTCACTATTGTTTCAAATTATCTGAAAGAATACAAGAGACAAAGTTCCTTACTAATCACATATATTGGAATTACTGTTGGAGTGCTAAGGCTAGCATTAAGGTCATTCACTTTGGGGTTGAGATTATGTAGTGCTGATAAAACCTTTTTTTTTCCCCAAAAGCGACAAGAGAGACATGCTCTCACATACCCACAGCAACAAAAAGTGATAGCAAAGTCCAAATAGCTTCTGGTACAAACACACACATATTAAGACATACAGCTGTAGTTAGGGGTCTACATACGAGAGGAACGCACTCCATGTGTCAATCTGTGGGTTGTAGTAAGTTTCCTGCAGTGTGTGTGAAAGACCGAGATCTGTCCAGCAAGGGGAGCTCGTCCTGTACAATTCAACTGATCCTCGAGCTGCAAGAGAATTTTGCCTCCCTGCCCACAATCCACCTACATTAGACAGACCCTGTGCCTGACTGGTCCTACGGTAACGGCCGTACAGCCCATAAGAGGCTGGGCTCCGGTAAACGGCCTCAGCAGGGAGTAGGTGTGAGGAGTTTCGCCGCAGGCAACGTGGGGCACGGATGAGGGGGCGGGGCTGAATACTTTTTCCCGCCAACAAACCCTGAGCCAACCACGTCATACACTTATCAGACTCTGACTCTAAGTCCATCCCTGCTTGCTTGTGCTCCTCCTGGCTACAGTCACTATCAGAGAGAGAGGAGTATTCTTCTGCACTCTTATTCTCAGTTTCGTGATCTTCACTCATTTGCACCATGCTAGCCAGGAGCAGTGATGGGCCCAGGAGCTGGGCGTGAATGCTACGGTGTTTGGCAGCCTGTCTCCGTCGGATAGCGAACCGTGGGGTCAGGCAGGCTGTTGCATCGCTCGACCTCCTTCTGGTGAAGTGTCCTCTTCTGTGTTGAATGACTCCCGTCGGCACGTTGCTGGTTTGGAGCTGAGAGCTAGACCTGCGTCTCTGAGCCAGGCCAGATGATGGCAGGCCCACGCTGGAGCGCCGGCGCGCTTTACTCACTGGAAGTGACACGCTGGAGCGCCTGTGTCTGCTTGGCTCACAGGCTTTCTGTCTGAAACGCAGGCCAAACAATGCATCCATTGGACTCGGTGATAAGAGAAGACGCTATATGCCACGACTGATGTCTTCCCCAGAGGACGCTGTGGGTGCAAGAGCGAGTCAGTCAGCGCACACAATACACAGACAACACACACATGAACAAATCTGGTCCGAATGTCTCCATGAATGCAGTGCTGTTCCTTTGACCTTTTTTGAAATAACAATGATGGGTTATGAGACCACCACTAATCACTCCAATCAGCTCTATTCAGTGCTATTCAATGCCAATCAACTCTATTCTTAAGTTCTCACCCGTGTGACTTATTTAGCAGCTCAGATGAAGTTGAAGAAAACCATCTAAATCCTCTGCATCCGAGTATCTGTCTGAATCGTAACCAAGAAAATGAAACCTCCTTTAATCAGCAATGCTACGTAACTGGATGACATACGATAACAATTGATTCAGGAGTATAATGTGGTGATGATATACCTGACTGCGCTCAGGTAACGTTACCTGGAGAAAGTGTATCTGACAGCGATATTTATAGAAGTCATCTCCGCTCTCACTCTTCACTCTTTCTGATCCCACAGAGAGACTTCTCAATAGTGCCCTTAAAGGGATAGTTTACCTAAAAATTTAAATTTTTTTACTGAAATGACTTTCATTGTATGGACATGAGATATTTTTTTAAATATCTTGTGTTTCGCAGAAAAAGAGTGTCATACATTTCTGCAAACACATTCAGCATATTTTCTACCAACAACATCTGACGTGTTTACACTTTATACGGTGTGAGAAAAGCTACACTAAATCTCAATCTGAGCGGTCAGACTGAAACGGATTTCCAGAAAAGTGATTTGAATAGGATTTCAAACTACATATCAATATAGCTTGAAACAGTTTTGTAAAAATCATATTTCATGAGATTTTTTGCCATTCACACTTGCCAAAATATGATTTGATTCTTATCGGACATGCACAAAAATAGGATTTGGACTGACAGTCTGAACAAGGCCTTAAAACACAAAACACTAACTCCTTAAACACATTATCATAATCATAATGATATCCAGCTAAATATGTCAGAATAAACATGCTGTGGAACACTTAATGAATAAAATTTGATTAATGCTCATAAGACGTTATTCTATTTAGCACATTCATATGAAAAGACCACCTACATTACTGTCCGATGAAACACAGTCTAGTATACGGTTTCTCTATATTTAACAAGAGATAAAAACAGTGGAATCTAATGAAAAACTATTTTGTAATTAAACACACAGACAAATGAAGTACTAGAGAGTATAAACAACGCTGGAAATATGTGGATTTATTTCTGCAGCCTTTAAAAAAAGTTGTGCATAACTCAAGCACCACAGTTTGATCTCGTTTGAAAAAGAACTTTCATAAGTCATGTGAGCTCACAGGCCTGTTATCCGATTCCCACACTGTTAAAGGTCACCAGTGAGTAACTGTTTTTTCAAAAAATACACCACATGACTGACACATTATTCTGCAATGCAAATAAACGATAAAGAAAAAAGTCATACTGTAAATATGCATTTTCCATAAACAGTCCGTGAATATAACCATGACACTGTCAGAGTTCAAGCAAGAATTTAAAGTGACAGCCAAGTGCTTTCCTGGTGGACGACACTAGTGCTTGTCTCTCATAATGTAATGAATAAAGGCTACAAAAGTATACTGTAAAAGACTAATGCCTATTATATTATACTGTCATAATAATGATGTCATGTGGCCTTCACAGGTTTATTCAGCAATTTAAAAATGCTTGGTGATTTAAGTTCACTGTTACCAAGTTCTAAAAATACTATTTAGTTCCTTAAGAAATTTGCTGAATAATCAGATGTGAAGATGACAGTGGCAGTACAATGTGTGTCTGTCTTTAGTGTCACTCTTTGGTTCTCATTGATAAGGTCAGCAGAGGTGACAATTTTCAAATGTACCACTGTGTGAACTAGGGCTGGGTGATATGACAATATTATCGTATATCGACGATGTCTCGCAAGTATCGCGATGTCGATGTCAACAGTCAGGTAACAGACGATTATCGACATTATCGGAAAAAAATGACAAATGACAATCCTAGTAAGTTGCAAAAAATATTTTACATAGCCCCATAGTCACCATACAGGTCTTTTTGCATGCAAGAATGAAACTATTTAGTAGGAGGGTTGGGAATCGAAAAGCTATTCCAATTTTGGAAATATTGTTTGTTTCACCCAGGGCAATTTTCTGCATAAGCTCAGGAATCGAATTACTTCTTATAAAATTAAATTTCGATTCTGTTTCTCGATTTCTGTATGCGCATTTATAGTGATTTCAAAAGATTCAACTGCAAGAAGACGAAATAGAACTCGCTTCTGCACTCGCGCGCTGTTTTCTGTGCTGCACACACACACACAAAGGGCTCGCACTAAAGCCGCCTCTCACTGGACTGAGCTCTTTTTCGCATTCTTACACATTCGAATGGACAAATACACACAGAATTATATCAAAATATCCCTTAAATACAATCGGTTATGTCTTAAGTGAACGCAAAGATCTGAGAAAGAAAACAAGGGTGTATTGGATCCGTGCATTGACTGCAGCCGCTGCCGCCAGTCATTAATGTTAATTTAAAGAACGAAAGAAAAGAAAATCCCTCACTGATCTTGACTGAATCACTTTTGTAACCTCGGTTTATATTTTATTTGCCTGTTGTTCGGCGCTGACTACTGTAATGGCAACGTGCATCTGTATATGCGATTATTTTGGAGATGCATTCCAATATAATCGATCCTTATTTAGGGTGCAGGCCTATTCTATTTTGATCTGCAGTTTAATAAAAGTTAAACAGAAAAAAAGAAAAGTAGCACTGCATGTGTTTCTGAATATTTATTTAAACAGACTGTATAATGATGAAAACCCACAAACATGAGTTATAATTAAAATACACAAATTCCTCCACAGCCTATTTATACAGCGCACATAGTGCCCTATTTTTACAGATTTTTTAAACAGTGTATACAGTATAATTATGTTTAATTAAGCTGAGATA